TCCTTGTTGCAAGTCAGTTATTGGAGGTAAAAGTGGACACATTCACCAATTTAACTTAAAGCATATTAATGCAGGTAAAAGCTGCCTCCAAGTCTTAATTTTCCTACGTCTCGTGTCTCGTCCTCCATAATCATTGGGAGAACTCTTAACGCGGGTTAGGAAGACGTTAAAAGAATGCTTACACGGAAGTAGATGACAAAGGCAGCGATCATCACACCAAGACTTTGTAGAAGGTCTCCAATCACATGAATGAAAGCTGCACGAACGTTGATGTTCTCTTCCCCGTGCTCCGAATCTGTCGTCCCCTCTTTCGCCAAGTGTTTGTGCGAGTGATGGTCGTGAGGATGATCAGTTGTGTAAGGCTTGTGTAGGCCCTGTTGGAACTCTCCACCCTCACAGATTGCTGTAGAAGCATCACCGGTTGAATCTTTGGAAATTTTGATATCATCTGAACGTGAGAGGTTCATACTGGAGATTTTTTTCTTCATCTTTGAAAAGAAGCCGTGGCTATGAGTATGTGAACCGGAGTCGTGACTGTGTCCATGGCTTTCGCCACCGTGGCCGTGACCATGTTGGTGAAGTGTTGCAGCCATTCTTTCAAATTCAAAACGCGATTTACGAATTTAATTAATGTTTACAGGAAACGCAAAATTTTTTGCATGAGATTGGTGGGTTTAATGCGATGTGAGGAACTCAGGCTGCTTACACCATATTTACGGCGACACCAACGGCAGAGGTGATGAGCATAACCATGCCATCAATTTCGTAGTGTTGATGTATCACTCGCATTACGGCGAGGTAGACAAGAATTCCTGTCACCAGCCAAATCATCAAGACTGATACAAGAGCGCCAACCACTTCTACAAGGGTGGAGGTGAAAGAAGTAGTAAGAACTTTCCGTGTTTGATACACAAACGCGAGTTATCTCAACAAATCAGTATTTGAAATGGTAATGCGTTCCTAAAAGAACGTACCAGCACGATACCAACCGAAACTCATCATCCGCGTAGCGGGTCGGCCGGACAGAAATATGGCAAAAAGACTGATAAGGAAGCTGGCAAAATCGGTAAGGAGATGAGCTGCGTCCGTCATGATTGCCAAACTGCCGGCAAGAGCACCACCTTAATTCAATCCGTTAGGTTATCTTTGACTCTGCTTTTATAATTGCTGCTATTTAAAATCAAGATATGCGTAATTCATCGCGCACTAAAGCGGCATAAAGCTCACCGGTAGCTTCCCCAATCATGAAAATTAGGCATAGTGCACTAGCAATTAGAAGTTTTCGCCTTGCAATTTTGTCAACTCCTCCTTCGTTGGGCCCTGAGTGGCAGTGAGTTTCTATAACATCGAAGAGTCACCGACATGTCTCGTACTGACGTGCTATCTGTACGCATTTTAAAAAGTTTCTTCTACTGAAAAACCATAAGTAGGGACTCACCGCTATCACCATCTGCTTCACCGAGAGGGCTTCTGGAATTAAACAAAGATGAGAGGGCGATCATCATTGCAATCAAGTTAACAAAACAGTGCATAGTTTGAACATTTTTTTGAATTATTAGCTAGCATACTCGAATCGCAGTGTGGCTGTAGTCGATAGAACTGAAGGGTTACAAAGGCGCATGATGGCGCGAAGGCGGTAGTACCTACAGCCTCCTACCACTCTGTCAACCTACAGCGTGCCGAATTAAGGGACCCCGCTGCGCACAAACTTTCCTTCTGATGGATTGAGTTTTGTATGTCCCCCTGAATGCGCAGTTCGAGGCGTCGAGTTAGCATTTATGACATATGCCAGAAAGCAGAGAGTGTGACAAAAAGTTACAACACTTTGTTTCGCTAACTATACGTAAGAATGGCGGCTTTTTTTGGCATTAACTTTGTAAAACCATGTGGACTTGACTTCGTGCCAGGTTGTGGTTTTGCATAAACAAATTTTATCTGACAGGTGCAAACATGCATGCCCATTGCCGTCTTCTGTATTATGGGAAGCTCCAAGGCATCGCATATTATTGCGATACTGCAATATATACCAATGTATTAAATTTGCTCTCGTAGAAGAGAGGCGATCAATCATTCGAACACGAATTTGTATTTTAACTTGCCGTATCATCGAAACCCTCCCTCCTTTCCTTTCCACACATGATATTAATAAACCTTTCCCAACCAAAACTTTTGTT